TTGTCTGGTTTTCTCCCTCTTCCCGTTTCCCACTTCATTCCTCTCTTTCTCCCTTTCCCGCAGACCTGCCGAGAATCTCGACGAATTCCACGGCGATCCCGCCACTCGCGGGCGCATCGAAAATCCAGCCACGTAAGGCGACTTGAAGTAACCAAATTGGCAAATCGGCGCCCAATTTGGCAAATCACTGATAATTGCCTTCTCATGGCCCTCACTGGCAAGGATTTTCATTAGCTTACTTCTAAACGGGGACTTTACGTTTCTATTGGCGCTAACGTATCCTGTCTTGCTTCTCGCTGTTGCTGGGAACTTCTCGTGAACTCCCTAACCTGCATTATCATGAAATCAGCAATTACGTGAAATTTATTAAGAAAAGTTGCATTTAAGTCGGTCGCGCGCTGCTTTCAAATCTTTGTGCTCGTAACTTTGGTCTAGTTAACTCTCTATCTCTGCCCGATGGAAGTTATTCAGGAGCACCCGGTCTGGAAGGCACTGAATGAGTAATGTATGTGCTCCGAAGTGGAGAAATGTACTTCTGGTGCGGTTTACTTGTGAACATTTTTGCTCGTAACGCGGATCGCATTTGAGGTAGTTTTAACTTATCACTGAATTTTGGAAAATTCTTTCATGCATGTTGGACGTGTTATTTTGATATTAATGAATAGTCAGCCATCACTCGAAATTCCTAAATAATGAAATTCACGTCTCGTTTTGTGACTCCTTATCTCAGGGCAATCAAACGACTGTTCGCCGTGCCTCGAGGCACATCCGCTCCCCGATGCAAATATGCTAAGAAAATCGATCACGGCCCGTTTACTTGCCTCTCTTTTTCCACTCGCTCAATCACCTGTTACCGCCTTCTTATGATGCAGCTCCTCGAAGAGTAACCATTTTCGCTTTCCTTGGAAAACCGTCCCTTCGACTTCATTTGGTTCCTCGAAGAACGCGATTCCAACACTTACCATAAAACCTCTCACTATTGACCCTGCGGATAAACTAAATGAAGCAAATTCACTATCAATCACTCTTACACCGTAACGTATTATTGCTAGTACAAATATCTTTTTCCTATGCCCGTGCGCAAAGTAGCTACTTTGCATACTCAAGCGCGTGCGCAAAGGATGTCTAGGGTAAAAAGAGCTTTTCCACTCTAGCGCGAAGAAGATCGAAGCATGTCGACTTTAACGGAACACAACCGACTACTATTAGAAGCTATTCATAACCTCATTGATGTTTTATAAAAAAATGAAATCAATTTTGTACTTTTTCGCGGGGACGATTTTGAGCGTTTTTCTTAACCGATTCAGTTCAACGAGTGCTAGTTTTAAAGATAAAATGTTCATGGGTGTTTACACGTGAGCGATTTTCTATAAGTGGTCATTTGCATATAAAAAAAATGCAACAACATAATTTTGCACGCTACTTGACTACCAAGGAGTTGCTTTATCGAAAATCGCTCCCGTATAAACACTCGTCAACATATTATCTTTAAGAGCGGTTCTTTAACTGTTTCGTGGACGTCGGATATATCCGGCGCTAGGCGCCAATGGACTAATTGGTTTATAAAACATCAATTAAATTATGAATAGCATTTTAACGTGAAATCCCAAGAGTACAGAGAAATTTGAAAACCATGGACGCTTCGGGAGCGTGTTTGCGTTTGCTGTACACTTTGCCGAGAAAACACGGTACGTGTGCAGGACATAGGAACATATCCAGTACTTACGGGTGCGCAACTCCGTTGATCGGGGTATTCGACATACGAGGTATTCGTTATTCGATGTGCGTACAGTGCAACTGACCGTACCAGTTACATGCGCGCTGTTAGTCGCTTCGGTCGGCACGGTGAATTCGATCGTCCTCAAAATGAAATTCCGCAAGAACGATTTGACTCGGTGCCCTGGCATGGCCGAAGTTTGTCCCACTTGTCCCTCGAGGGCGACGAGCGATAATTCCATTCCATCTGTGCTGATTTAATGAAATTGCCCCTCGCGGCGCGCCAACTTGCGAATTCACCTGTTTTACTTTTCATTTCTGCGTCATCGGCCCCGGGAAGGGATCGATAGGTTTATCCGATTGATAAGCGCCATTCGCCGCGTCAAACGAAGTCCGACAATTTCATACTAACATTTAAAAAAAATGATAGATAATAATCTAAGTACCGCCGAAAGGCGCGAGAAGGTTATTAAAGTAAGAGAAGTAAACCGAGAGGACGATATGCATGACAAAATTTATTTATTTTTTTGTAAAAAAAGAGATTCCCAGGATATATGCCGCCACCGAAGTGCCCTTTGTCGAGGTTCGAAGCGAGCCCCAGGACGCACGATGCTCCGCTTCGTTATCCGGACTCTAAGGTCGCGTCAAGGGTCCATTATCAATTCATAATCCCCTTGAAAGCTGCGTCCCTTGCATCGCGGAACTTTAAGCTCGGCGCAGAGCCCAACAACTACAGAGGGTCATATCGCTAAACAATTGTGCAACGAGACCGTCCAAGCTGGCAGCGTGCGCACGCGAGCGACAAGCTCACAAAAGATTGCATTACACAACCTCGGACGGTAACTCTTGCATACCGAGTGAACTAAGTGCGGACGAGATTGCGGAGCTTCGAGGTACTCGGCCCTCTGCGTTCCCGTAACCGCTAGCTCTCTTTGAACCGGTGTACGGTCAAAGCCATTCTTATTAAGACTCTCATCTTCTTTCCCTTTTTCTTGGAGTTTCTGTGGCATTCTCTGACTCGAGACTGGGTGTAATCTGGTCAGCCATTCGGCGTCAAAGTTAAAAAAATGAGATACCTCTTGCCGGATGAAACCACAAAACGTAAGTTGTTGAAATTAATACACGTCTTTCTTCCGAGTCATTAGTGTCCCGAGTCGAACATTTTTACCGGAATGAATTTGGAGTATAATGCGTGCATTTAAAATAGGAAGATATTAATTAAATCTATCTCATTTGAATATGATAATCTGCACTTGTGAGCGATTTAAAATCGGATCCAAATGAGCACTAGATCGTGACTCGGTTAAACCTTGAAAACCTCACTTTCCATATATTTCATTCCTCACTTCATCCCTGACCATAGGAATGGAGTTTTGTATAAATCACTAACATAAATAGTAATATAAAATTGTATATACTTATGATGGTACTTTTTATGAATGCAATAATGCAATGCACTCAAATTTCATATGTATTTACTAATTAGAAAACTCGGTAGAGTTTTACCAAAAACACCCTTGCGTACGTCCTTATGTGCGTTTCCATGAGACAATGGCGGACATGAATGCCTCCCCTGCAGATACGGCATCGCCTGTGCAGGATGGCAGGGCATTGATGTCTCCCAGTGTACATGCGAGCGCCACCGAGTCCTTGCCAAGTATCGGCATCGCAAACTTGTAAAAATGAATATCTTTATATCTAAGTCTCTCGAGTGATTAATAACTAAGATACATAAACAATACTGCTTTTCGCAGCAGTTTCCATCCCATTCTGAGATTTTTCTCAAACTTCGATTCACTCGACACATTTCCAGGAATTGAAGGTCCTAATGAGGAAAATGAACTCAAAGGTTCTTAGTGAACCGAGTCTGAAATTTCTGTCGGTAAACTAAACGATCGAAAGAATTAGAAGTTTAATTGAAATTAATCACTTAAACTCTTCTCTCTCCTGAGAGGAAATTTAAATATTTTAAGGAAAGTCGAAAAAAAGAATACATATGAGCATAGCAATATTAACGAGATTTCGACTCACAGACGAGGCACAATGCGCAACCATGAATCGTTCGTTTCTTGTCAACATGGTTCAGCAACAGGTATCGACGGCTTCGTCGCCATGCAAAGCCTCAATAATGGCATTCCGAGTGTCGGGAACCAGAAACGGGGCCGCCGTTCATGGGAACTCGGTCTTCTTAAGGTGATATGAAAGTATGATATATACGTACCAAAAAGTTAAAATATTGATAAAACTTGTCTCCAAACCGGGTGCACCAAATTATCGGAAACTTTAACACATGATTATGGAGGCACTAAGATAAGTACAAAATCTTTTTCGGAAAAAGAAATTTCACGAGCAGCGCGTTATTCCTTAGAGCTTCCATAATCACGTGTTAAAGTTTCAGATAATTCGGTGCACCCAGTTTGAAGACAAGTTTTATAAATATTTGACTTTTTGTTATGTATGTATTATACTCATATCAACTTAAGGAGTCAGAAGATGCGAGGGCGCGCCAAAATGGCCGCGCCACGCGTTCCCCGTCGACGTCGCCGTGAGGGGATGATTAATCGGGAGTGGAACTAATGGCTATGTCGGGGCGAGAAAGCCCTCCGGGCGGACCTTAAATCGAGATAGTTTGGGCTGGCTCGGATTATTACGGTGGGCGACGTGGCATCGATTTACAAGGGCGGCTACACGGGTTAACGCGACACCTGGAGGGCTCGTCGGAACAAAAAGACTCCTCCCCGAAGTTCAAAGCTCCCGAAGCTCTCAAAGCCGGCAAATGGAGCTTCCGGTGCGTTCAAACTTCCTCTTAACCCTATTCTTTCCGGCTTATTCCGGCTACGCGAAACGTACACTTTTTGCCCGTTTTGCGCTCCTTTGACGTCGACCCTTTAAGGTGAAATGAACCCCCCCCTCAAATCAGTCGACTCGAATAAAACACTTTTTTAAGGGTATTGGATCAAACTGTCCGAAACTTTGACACATGACTCGTGATCATCTAAGAATTGTCCTGACACATTCAAAATTAGGTTTCTCATAAAGATAACGGAAAAGAAAGTGTCTTATGCGCTTCTGTGCTAAAATGAAGGTAACGCGAGGTCTCGGAGAGAAAATTAAGTTGACCCTAAAATCATAGATGGCGCAGGATGGCACTTTGCAGTCAATTGCAGCATCAAAAACCACGAATCCAGGAGATTTCTGGAGTTTTACTTAGATTTCTTTATAATTATTGTACGGAAACGACGTATCGTGTATGCCATTTAGTACAATACCCGATATGGTTCGTCATGGCTGTCGATATAGATACGATCGTCGGCTACGTAGGTATTTAGAAGAGTCTTTTTTACCGACGTAGAACAAATTTCTTGGCGTGTTTCACTTCACCTTAAGTCCGCCCTATCTGACGATTTCTGATTTCTTGTTCCAGGGGTTGGTGGATCGACCTGCCCCGAGGACAGCGTGGCTCTGGAGGAAGGAGGATGCAAGTGTATGTCGGTCTGTCCACCCAACAAGTGTCGACCTGGTCAACGGCCCGTTGAGATCAGGCCGGCCATCCCCGACACCCCCGGAAGCTGCTGTCCCCTCTACAACTGCACTTCCCTAGGTAATCACCATTCAATTGATAACAACATTCCACATAATTTCATACTGTTCCAAACTACGGAGTATTCCTCCCGAAAGACGTGCAAAACCACTAATTAAAGGCCTGATTACTTAAAAAATTCATGGAACATTGGCAACATTATTTTCCGGAGCCAACTTAATTGTCCCGAATGTCAAACGATTGATATAATTACAACTACTCAAAGTTATATTAACTTCAAATCCATTAAACATAAAACTACTCTATATGCAATGCCGTGGCATGAGTAAATCAATTTCATTTCCCCCCCAATATAATACAAACGAAAAAAATTGAATCCATACAAATGTTACTCACCTATACCGTTTTACGAAAAATTTCGATAACAACGGAACGGTTGATTTAACAAATATGAAATTATCGTGAGACATTCATTGCGCTATCGGAAAGCTTCTACTGTCTCGATAAGTTTTTCCAAGTATAAAGATAAAATTGATAACGTTGGTTGCAATTCACCCGTGTTATATTTGACCTCGGTCTCCCCGACACCCAATTCGGAGAATACTTTTTTTTATATGCAAATAATGGCGTATCGAAAATCCCTCCCATATAAACAACGGTCAACATTTCATCTTTAAAAAGAGCACTCGTTGAACTCGATCGGTTGAAAAACACGCTTTATTACTTATAAGTACCTATTCGGAAAGTTTGATGGATGGTTTCACCCCCAAAATATGAAATTGAGTAGGCATAAAAAACACGTGTATTTTGTAGTACTCTATAATATATTTGAAAACGAATCAAATCGGAAGCGGGCACTTGGATATGTTTCCTTGTAAGTCGACCATAATTAGATACGTCAGGCAGAAATAATTGCAGAATTACTGCGCTTATGGAGAAATTCTAGTAGAAAAGAAGCTAAAAAAAAAATGGGGAATTAGCGTGGTAACGGATATCACTAAATTGTAAGCCAGGCGGTCGTAAATTGCTCTCCTTTGAAGTAACTACGTGATTATCCCTCTTTTTGTTGCGGTCTCATAAGAAGGTTCATAAAGTTGTCCCAGTCGGTATCGTGCTTCGTAATACGATCGATTAAGGATATTAGAAGTAAGTGGTTAATGAATACCCGGAAATTTTCCCTCTAGTTTGGAACAACTTATTCGCCCCGAGTCTGGTATCGCTGAGAAAAAAAAAAGAAAACAAAAATGATCCGCACTTGATAATAATTGATTGATTAAAACATTTCCCCCCGGACGTGGGCACTATATTCATTATACGTTTGCCAATAAATATTGTGTAATATACATGATATATGGTAGCTACAACAAGCCGGCAAGAAAGTACCATATATTATGACCGGCTTTACCGCCTGACAGTTGAAAGAGTGAACCGCAGGGTATACGATCATAATGACTGTAATATACGGTTTCTGCGAGTATTTGGATTATTCTGCCCTGTACTTCCGCAGATTGAGAGCGGCCAAAGCGACTATAAATTTCTCGGAGACGTTATTCCGCTATCAAGTAACCCCATCTTGTACGCGATCAAACGATCGAAATCATTTGAGCGAACGCAGTCCTGACAAATAACAAGTCTGGGAATTTCATTCGCAAAGAATTACGATCCGAGATTTAATACACTCAATGAACCCTTCCACGGACTCCGTAATACTTAATATCAAAATAATAACAGGACAACTATACATGCAAGTTCGATTAACGATTCCTTTTATTAAAAAGGTATTATTAACCCTCCCAACACCAAATACTGTAATTCATTATTAAAATCCCAGAACGAGCGATTAAAGTGCAACGAGTCTGTAAAACCTGCTTCAACGAATCGTATTTAAATTCAACAGTCTAATATCTAATAACAGACCAAAATTAATGGCGCGGAACAACGTGGGCACCCCTAATCTACCCAGTGTACGTGAAATGATAAAAATGTCATTTTTTCACATTCTTGCATTACCTACCTACGTGGGAGAGCAGGTTCCGAAAAGTTCGCACTATCAGTGGTTATGATATGAACCCGTGGCATAAATCCGACCCAGCGGAGGAGGAACGGGCTTAAAGATATTACAGAAATAGACCAGGCGAACAAACCAGGAATGCTGGGGACAAAATATCTATCTTAACTATTTTCAACAATATGTTTTAGGTGTGTTTAGGTTGGCACAGTTTGCGCTTGAAATTTTCCTGGGTAACCGGAGTACCCGTTTCGCGACCCCATCCGGGACGCAGGGTGCAGTCGGTGAAGTCGGCATTAATGCAAACTAAACATAAATATTAATTTGTAACTGCGCTAGCCCCGGGATTACCGTAATGGTACAACTGTAGCGGGAACCTTTATTAGCCATTCGACGAGCTCGCGCACCAGGCGTCGTCGGCATCGTAACAGCAACGAATGGATTAACTCGCCTTCCTACGTTTCTGGGCTCGAGGAGCGGTTTTACTAAACGCGCCCCGTAATACGTATTCACCGTCGGTGCGACGGTCGACGGTGCCGGATACGATCGTGTACGTCGGGATGCCGGAACGAGTACGAGCCATTGCTGTTGGCTGCATATTAACGCCGTCGCGAGCACGCGGAAAATTTCATACGTCGCGGTCCGAAGAGGGTGGACAAATGAAAATTTTATGATATCGCTAGAGAAATGAGAATTGTATGATATCGCTAGAGAAATGAGAATTGTATGGTATCGCTAGAAAAATGAGAATTGTATGATATCGCTAGAGAAATGAGAATTGTATGGTATCGCTAGAGAAATGAGAATTATATGATATCGCTAGAAATATGAGAATTGCATGCATCGCTAGAGAAATGAGAATTGTATGATATCGCTAGAGAAATATGAGAATTGCATGTATCGCTAGAGAATTGAGAATTGTATGATATCGCTAGAGAAATGAAAATTGCATGCATCGCTAGAGAAATGATAATTGTATGATATCGCTACAGAAATGAGAATTGTATGATATCGCTAGAAATATGAGAATTGCATGTATCGCTAGAGAAATGAGAAATGTCTGATATCGCTAGAGAAATGAGAATTGTATGATAATGAGCGATAATAGAGTGCAATGCCGGGCAAATTCGAATTAAAAATACGTGATTATTGGGAAAAGTTCATTGTTTTGCTGCATAGTATATGGTGTTAGCGATGGATTTTGCCATCCTCGATTTTCGGACGTTTTTTTTTAATTAACGAACCGTAATACATATTCACCAACGTTACGATGCCGGATACGATCATGTACATCGGGGTGCCGAAACGAGTACGAGCTATTGCTGTTATCTGCATATTAATGCCGTCACAAGTACGCGGAAAATTTCATGCGGAAACGTCGCGGTCCGAGGAGGGTGGACAAATGAAAATTGTACGATATCGCTATAGAAATGAGAATTGTATGGTAATGGGGGATAATAGAGGGTAGTGCCGGGCAAATTCGGACTTGACCTCTTTGTCAGACCATACTCGCTGCAGCATATGACATGACAACACATTGTAGCTACGCGTATAGGAAATTAATTAAAAATACGTGATTTTTGGGAACAGTTCATTGTTTTGCTGTATACTATATGGTGTTAGCGATGGATCTTGCCATCCTCGATTTTCGGAGGTTTTCTTTGGACTAACGAACCGTAATACGTATTCATCGTCGGAGGGAGAGTAAATGTTACAATTGCAGATACGGAACATGTAGCTACGTCGGGCTACGAGTACGCGCAGTTGTTACCGCTCGCTGCATATTAACGCGACTGCGAACCGGCACGTTTCGGTGCCAGGAAAATTTCCTACGAAAATACGTAGCTTTGCTGAGATAAATATTGCCGGGGTGATAAAAGGGAGTTATATGGTAATGCGAACGCGAATGAAGAATGTCGGGGGAAAGGAGGCGAAGATGGAATTTTTAACAGTCTTGTTACGCCGGTTTCGTAAACGTCATACAATCGTACAAAATTTAGGTAACTTCCCTTCTTTTCCCAGGAGATAGCTCTCATCCATTTCCTCGAATTACTTCCTTAGATCCAGTATTTCACGGTTTTTTCTACATTTCAGATCCCATATCCTGGGCGGATATTGAGGAGGACCGTGGGACCGGCACGTGCATAGACAATCTGGGACTTCCGAGGTCTGCGGAAGAAGTTTGGCAGGATGGTCCCTGCGTAAATTGCGTCTGCGAGGATGGCAATGTCTCCTGTCAAGCGACTATGTGCAAAAGCTGCGAAAACCCCGAACCGATACTTCCTGGCGAGTGTTGTCCTCGTTGTCCGTATCCACATAACGAGACAGCGGTCTCAAGGCGATGTCCTTCCATGAGAGGCTGCGAGAAACGCTGCGACATCGGCTACATCAGGGATGAAAACGACTGTCCTACTTGTAACTGCGTGAAGAAGGTAATTAGATAGAGCAATCTATAAATAGGTAAAATTTTTGCGCGATTTATAAGTAGGTAAAATTTTTGGGCAATCTATAAATAGGTAGTATTTCTGGTCAATCTATAAATAAAGTTTATGCCAACTAATCATATAGTTATGAAACATCACGCTGCTCACAATTGATGCAAACGATCCCTAGTCACTTAATTTCCGCTAAATTAATTCCTGTTAAAGTCAGATTGGACGGTGAGAATTAAAATTAATCCTATAATTGATCCTCCTTACACCGGGTTCATGGATTTCCTCGCGACACGTCCCGACTTCCTCTCTCCAGAAATTCTCGACTCGCCATAAAATAAGCTCGGCAAAGCGAGGGAAAGGTCAGTGCTAAAGTGAGTTATAAGGGTAACTAAAGGAAGGTGGGAACCTTCTCCTTGAAGAAAGACCGGAATCGAGGGAAGAAAACTCGGGAGAGTCTTACGCTAAACTACGTAATCGTGCATACATTCATGGACATGCGTGACATGTATATACGCGAAAAGTCCTTACACGTGTAAATTCAAGTGTAATCGATTTCTCTAACGTCTTACTTTGTTAAATTTCTTGTAATATATTTTTATCAATTCGTGAAGCTTATACGAGATGAAATTTTTCAACTCGGGTTGTAACAAACTGTTCATGTGGTGGAGGAAAAATTGATATCGAATTCTAGAAGGATGAACTCTTCGTTGGGGGTCATCGTCATGAATTCCGGTGTCCGTATCGAATTTGAAATAAAAAACCGTCCATTATTTCAGACCTCGGATTCTTCCAACGAAGGCAAGATCTGTCCTGATCTGCCACATTGTGGGCTGAACTGCGGCCTCGTCAACGACGAGGGAGGATGTCCCGTTTGCGCCTGTCAGGACTCCACTCCCAAGGACGTCGTCTCTATCACCGAACAAGACAGAGACCAAATGGTGTGTCCGAAGCTGAAATGCGATCTCCACTGCGAGCGGGGACTTCTCATGGACGAAAACGATTGCACTTTGTGCGAGTGTAAGCCCCACCAAGGATGCGCGCCGCTCAACAATTGCAGGAAGAAGTGCACCTACGGTTACAAGACCAACAAACGCGGATGTCGGGTAAGGAGGAGCCTTCCTGGTTCTGGAAATATTGTCCCACGGAGACCGCACTACACCGTAATATCTCAGGAATCATCTTGCTTTTATTATGTAAGGTATCAGCCGGGTCGGATCAAACCGCTACGTTGTAATCAGAAGCTGCAAAGACCTTTCCTTTAAATACCACACATCTATCTCGGCTTCTGGTGACACGAAAGGTGATTTTTACCGATCGGTGACGACCAAATTCCGCGAATATACTTTTTTTTTACTATTATTAGCTTTACTCTCAATTAGACGGTCAAGTCGGTTACAAAGTGACGGCAGAGACTTAATCCATCCCTTCGGATTAACTCAAGCCAGCCTATTTTTTTTTCTCCCCGGTTTAAGTCCATTTTCACCACAGTAGTCAAGTCCGAGGAGTAGGTCCAGCCGAAGAGGCTAATCTCCCACTTTATCACCCGCCGAGATTCCTCCAGGTCTTCCTTTTCCCTCCAGATCATGCCGGAATCACTGCAGACTGATTTGATTGACATGAAGTATTATAAATGCGTTAACTGTTGAAATTGAAAGGTGGTATCAGCCACAGGAGCGATGATTACCCGTGTGCATCTCTTGCAGTCCGATATTTTGACGGTTCGTTAGTCCGACGCGTTTGTGCGGTCACGCATCGGCGTAATGTCGTTACCGGATGCACCGTGTGCTAAAAACGCGGAATATATTGACGGCAGAGCATCGCGACGTAAATATCGAATCGCAAACTCGTTGCTCCGGGCTCGAGTGTTTACAGATACTGTTTTTCGACCGATCCGTGCTGCCGGGTGTCCAATTCAGTCTAGACACGTCTATATTGACAATCGCGCGGTTCTGTTTGTTCCGGACAGATATGCCGTTGTCGTGCAGCTTGCATCGATCATCTAAATCAGACGCATCTGGAAGGCACGTCCTGGAAGCCGAATTTCTGCACCACTTGCAGCTGCGACTCGATTGGCAGGCTCAGCTGCAAGGAGACCGTCTGTTCTCTGGCATGCACTGATCCTTTGCCACCCAAGGAGGGAACTTGCTGCCCAACATGCCCAATAGTGGTAGAGCATCTTCTATTTTCAATATTTTCAACGAGAAAGCACATATGTATCTACAGTTTCTAAAAAAATGAACGCGGTTCAGACAGTATTGATACAAGTATACTAAGCTAAGATATAGAGATTCATAGTACATTCATTAGTAAGTAATGGATTCATGTCCCATTACCCATTAATGACATAAACAATGCATTGGTTTTACAGTAAAATTGTTGCAACCCTGGCTAGAAAAATCACAGTCATGTAAAATTGCAATATGAAGTAAATATTAATTAACCCTGCTTATCTGGCATGGTTAGATGTTGAAACTTCTACGAAATGGATGTACCGAATCATTTCAAACTTTACAATGTGAATATGGAGACCCTAAAGTAGGTCTTGAAACTCGTGAAATTTCTCTTTTTATACAAAAATTTTGATAATATCTATAAACAATTTTCTTAAAATTGAAATTTCATGGGTGTCAGGATCTTCTTTATAGCCTCTATATTCATGTCATAAAGTTTGAAACGATTCGATACACCTAGTTTAGAGGACAATTTCATAAACTAAACCTCTGTGCCGCCACTTTCGCATCACCTTAAGGGGACTAGTTTATCCCAATGTTTCTTTTTTTGTATAATTCACTTCCCGTCTCATCTTCCATAGGTGTATGAATAATTAGGCAAATGTCGCGTTCTATATCCGTGAACCGTTTTATTGCAGGTACCCGGGGAATCCGATGGGGCTCATCAGAGTTCGAGAGGCTGGGGAACGGTGCCGATCACGGTGATCGCCGTCCTGGCGCTTCTCTGTGCCCTCCTGATCGTGCACATCGTCCGAAATCGATTCCGTGGTCGTTTGTCTCCATCGGAAGCAACGTATGCCTCGTACCCGCCGCAGTACTACAAATACGTCCCGGCGTACGAAACCTCGGTGCACCAGCACGAAAAAATTGTACCTTTATAAGAGACCTGGGCACCATCCGCGACGGACCTTCGCCTCGTTCAAGCCGAGGGAGATCGCTGCCTCGTATAAAGCACCAATAAGGCTACCGAGTTTAGATCGAACCAGCCTCGATTACCTTTGGAGGAAGCGCTCGGTCCAACTCCCACGATAAGACATATCCTCGAATCCTCATATCTCGCCCGATGGGAAGAGGCCTGATGCCTCCAACTGAAACGAGTCCAACTCCGCTCGACGAGATATTTTCCCAACTGCCACCTCGTTAACATCAAGACGCGTTAATCAAATATCCTTAAAAGCATGATTATCTCCAAGAAATTAGATATACCATCCAAAAGTGTACAGATTAAGAAGATGTGAAATACAAAAGGTCAATCGTTCATGAAACATTTCTACAAACTGAGTGAACCGTAATCGTTTGAAACCTTCAACATGAACGTGGAGGTCTCAAAGTAGGCCCTGAAACTCATAAAATTTCATTTTGACAAATAATTTCAAAAACATCTATAAAGAAATTTAAAAAAAATTGAAATTTTATGGATGTTAGGACCTTCTTTATAGCTTCCATATCCACATTGTCAAGGTTGAAACGATACGGAACACTTGGTTCGGTGAAAAGTTTCATAAACGAGACCTCATTGCGCCACTTTCGTCACCTTAAGGTACCTACCAATGATTGCCTGTACGCATAGATTGGAAAGATATCCAACACATTTGTGGTTGTTTTATTTTATATTTTCTGTTTTACTCCACTCTTGGGTGTGTCGTGAGAGATAAGTGTATTTCATAGATTTCGGAGGTGGATCCCTCGGAATTGCAGTTTGGGATTGAATCTTGCCCTCCAGGGTGTTTTCCCTCTTGTCGGGCTTTCGAGCGGAGCTGGAGATACGGACACGACCGGAAATAGCGAACCCAATGCATTGTGCACCGAACAGGCGCCATAAAGTTGCCCAGTGTCCGTGCATCACTCGCCCTTTCGAAAAGTTGATCATGGTATCATCTGTAACGAGGACGATCGATCGAACGAAGCTTCGGCGATGATCGGGAGTGCGCGCGCATCACCGACGACCAGCAAGATACGACAATGATGCAGGCAGTGACACTTCGGTCCGACATGTCGGATTTGTGATCCCGCTAATGAAGTAACCTTAACGTAGGTCCAGTATTATGCGTAAGATGCGAATACGATGCCGTTGTCCGTTAATCTGCCAGAACCCATCCAGAAAAAGTCTGACAGGACGAATCCGTGTTTTTACCATTAAATCGAATGCACGTACAAAATGGAATGCTTAAAAATTACATCAATATCATTTAATTTGAGTCAATGTCTTTATTTTTTATCAACTTCCCTAGTAGCATAGAATAATTTCTAAATATTTCTTTGTAATCTTTGCTGAATGTTTCGAGCGACAGATTTTTTAAGATGGCTACTAGACTTCATTCGATATCTGAAATATTTGTTGAAAATCTCAATGACATATTTAGTTTCAATAATTTATCAACGTATGTAGAAATTATGTTTCTTAATTTATGAATGTATAATAAAAATACATTTTTTACTTCGCGATTGTTATCGGACACTTCATTTGGTATCGAAAAACGCGATAAATTTTTGTAATATTTTCGTTCCGGTATTTCATTATGGGAGCAAAACCTGTGATTTTGATTTTAAATCTTTTTAAAACGTTTACAATGCATTCGGCAGATAATATTGAAAAAATATTTATATTAAAACGAAACGGAATGTTTTGTATATCTGTTTGAAAAATATTATGAAAACACATGGAGCTAATATTATACAGATATTATAAAGATAATATTCTAAAGTAAACATTTTGCAAATTATCCAAATATCTGCTAAATATTTATAAAATGTACGATGTTTGTTAAATATATAGAAAATATAGGGCAAATATTTTGTGCTACTAGGGTTGGTATGATAAATGGATGTCCAATTCCATTGACTTATCTTCCAAACTAGATTTGCGGATATTATATTACACCACGGTATTTTATTTCTATTTCCAAAATTTTATGGAAATATAGCAGAGGGCATATTCGCCAGACTCTTTCTGGAGCAGTTCCAAGCCGAAATGTTGATTCGACGACGGCGTCGGTCGCCAAGAGCCGACATCCCTTAACTTAACCGACATCTAGTATAATCTAAAGTGTAAATTATGGCAAAGTTAGTCTTACTATTATAAACGAGTACAGATATGTATACTAATGTCAGACCTGTAGCCTGTTAGGTCGCCTACTTACAAATTCTTGACGAGAGGAAACCTTGTGCGTAGCGATAGTTTCTTTGATCTCTGGACCATCTTTGCCATATCGCGTCGTAAAGAAGCAGTTCGTGTCCCCGTTTAAGCAATCGAAACGGACATTTGTCAATTGCCAGAGGTTCTCCGAAAGAAAACCAAGTTAGAGACGAGTCGAAGTGGTCGCAGGACGATTGCGCATCTCGAATTCCATGCTCGACGTCGAATCCTATCTTGCAATGCGTCTGGAGATACTTTACGCGATCATACGGAATTATTCTCCCGCAAATGCTACTCGCGCGAAACATGAAAATTACTCTCGTTAACGATGCTATTAATGGTTTCATGAATATCCCCAAAAACCACTGGAGAGAAGCAGGCGAGATGTATTTAATAAATGTCGATGCGCGCAACACCGACTGCATTGTCAGGTGCAACGGTGCAACGTCATTACAAGGAGAACCGTTCCAACCAACATTTTCAATTAAGGATAATGATTCGTTAAATATCGTTACTTTTCACTTATTTATTGCCATTCAAATGTCGTGTGTATATATGTCATATCGCGTAACGTCGACGTTAATCTACTCTAATGTTAAACAAGAAGTGTATTTCTTTTCGTAATCTCCTCGCTAAAGGACTCAATTCGATGATCGGCGATACCGAGTCACTGGCAATTCGCGTCTCTTGAATCGTAACGAAGAAAACGGTGCACTATTCCTGATAGGAGACGATTAACGGCGTTAAGTCGAACTCGTGCAAACTCCGGATTCTGTATTGGGAGTTATTTTGAGATGTAGCGCGAGGCATTTTGTACCAGAATAAAACGATCTCGGATCGATTTATCGGAACCCTCTTTACAAAAGCGTCCATGACCGAATGCTAATCCCGACTAAGCCCGATGACTTTACAAGTCGGTTTAACCCAGAAGACGCGCTGCGCAGAGTCACGGCTACGATCGATAAAGGATTCGCTTAACTTAGCATAAATTACACGGGTCACTTACGCTCTTGCACCCCGTCGCATACTCTGGACACATCACCAGGAAATGTTCTTTTTCAATCTTCTCCTTCGATTTTGCCCCGCTACTTGGGGGATTTCTCCGCACTCTATCTTCTCCTCTGTTGAAACGACAGGACAAATGTTCTGAAACATCATTTTGTTAACTTGAACAATATTTCCTTTCCCATTTTTTAATAATCCTTCGAAAAAATAACGTCTCTAATTATTTTAATACGGTAAAAGAGAAATGTGATTCACGGAAGATGTAAAAGCACATTTCTATCTTCTGTTGGAATAAGAATTTCTTAAAGCTGCTTCAGGGATTTCTCCGCGCTCTATCTTCTCCTCTATCGAAACGACAAGACAAATGTTCCGAAATATCCCGAAATATCATTTTGCTAACTCGAACAATATTTCCTTTCCCATTTTTTAATAATCCTTCGATAAAACAACGTTTCTAATTATTTTAATACGGTAAAAAAGAAATGTGATTCACGGAAGATGTAAATGCACATTTCTATCTTCTGTTGGAATAAGAATTTCTTAAAACTGCGAACGTCAAGCAGATTTGATTAAGTGCACCGAAAAGCGGAATAAGTACATGTCTTGAGCTGATGTGATCGACGTCTGACGAACGTTCTAAGATTTAATGATGGGAATGTCCATTTAGCGTATACGTTAATAAGTGTCTGCTGACTACTGAAACTACGATCATTTACATGTGACTCGCAAAATCGGTAATAACGTTCGATATAGTCGACCGCTGTAAGTATTCCAATCGCAAACGGCAGCGAGGGTGGAATCATCGGAATGCGCAGAGTTTGAAGTTAAAATGAAAAAAAAAAAAGAAAAAAGTGCGATTCGGTCCACCTTTCGGGCGAGCGAAACGTGCGACACGAAACGCGAAACACGGCTGAACGTGCACGGAATAAATCGATGATTTTTTATTACAACAAAAGCCAAGTTAAGGGGCATTATCCAGTTGTCACAGGCGAAATTCAAGAATCTTTTTATTTCATAACTAAAATGCATCTTTTAATCGAAAACAGAGCGTGATTTCATAGTACAATTATTGAACTTAAGATATCATTTTTTTTGTCAAGATATATTAAAAAATTGGCGAGGTACAGCGATTCTCCGAGAAAGTTTGTTTTTTGTGGTGACCACGATATCTCAAAAGTATTTCACCGATTGGCTTCAAATTTTAAGGGCTCATTCTATACTTGGTGGAGTGCTGAATAAACGAAGGATTTTTCGACCGATTTTTACCAAAATGGCAGGGATTTTACTGCATGCCAATGTTTAAATATATCTTTAAAAAAAATGATACATTAAGTTCAATAATTGTACTACGAAATCACGCTTTGATTCCGATTAAAAATGGATTTTAGTTATGAAAAAAAGATTCTTGAATTTCGCCTATAAGAACTGCATATATAACCCCTTAGTGCCGCGGAGGAAGAGGCCGTAGATTAAAGAAGGTAGATTAATCGTTGATAGCTGTGTTATTAGACTGTTCCTATGTTCCGCCTCTGTTAACGTAGGATTAACCGTAGACTAATGATTAATTCCTCGCGAGCGACACGTGTATATTAATAATTTAAGGGCGAAAGGAAACGGATCAACCGCGTTGTCGCGGACAAACCTGACAGCCGACGACCCAGTTGAATCGCGCGAGTGCACCCCTGCATCAAGACTGTCAGATATTCGAACAAATTCAAAAACGAAAATGTATATATATATATGGTACATAGGTATATGTGCGTGGATGCGTGTACGTGCGTGTGCGAGTGGGCGGATGATTATGCGATTAATATCCGGTAAGAGGTTTTCATTTACTCAGTGATAATCATTTTTTCAAATACTCCGCTCCGTTCTGTTCTCGATACCGATTGTAATGGAATTTGAAAACAAGCAGCGCGTACCTCGATGTACCTTAGAAAAGAAAGCGAGAAAAAATGTCAAATCACCTTTCCGTAACAACGCTTGCTTCTTATCCCTTTTGTCCAATTGCGCAATTCGAAATGAGTACTTGGCTCCAGGATCGGCAATGGGACGGAGGTGTCGGTATGATAAGAAATTCGGGAATTGGGGCAGGTCAGTGATAGCGCGTTTTCGGAGCATCATATCACCGAACTTTTCGCTAAATGCGCGGGAAAGGTGTTAACGTTTGTCTGTCGTCTGTTTAAGAATTGGATGGCCTTTTTTCAAAGAGTTACGTACTTCGCGAAGCACCCTGCAAGGGGGTGAAGTACATTCGTAGGTGCGCGATTTTCATACCTGCGATAGATTTCAAAATATATATATATATGTGCGTTCTGAAATCGCTGCGACAGATATTTCGAACTACGGGATGATTAGACCTCTTCGAGATGATAAGAGAGGGAGAGAGGAGACGAGTAACTCAACCTGGTATCCCTTTCCTTTCGAAGGTGGTTTTCGTACACCCTCTTTGGTGTACACCTTGTTCTCTATGTGACTTACGAATCCGTTAAACAGTGTCGTAAAGGTTTGTAACGCAATGTCGTGCAAAGTAGAAGGAAAGGAATCCATGCCCTTAGGAACATGCGCATATGTCTCTAAATTACATATATTTTTTCAATGTGATGCCATCGCACGTTACCACATTATAACCATGTGTAACCACACAGTTTTACAATATCTATTGTCAATAAAGCCTAGATCAAATTTCGTACATGTACTTTGAAGACAATATTCATTGCTCGGTAGATCTCGAAGGAAAAGACCATTGCGGAGAGAATTAGCAAAAGTAGCGTGTCATAAAAATCACGGAATTTCCGATTCACCGTAAACAATTTCTGCATGTCGGGATAATTCGTGAATTATCATTCATAAAAGGTACCGATTATCCGAACGGCAATTATTTTAAATACTGATTATTCCGAATGAACGGTATAGGCTATTGTGGTCTGAAGAACAATAAAATAAGTCTGCATAACCCTCGACCTACTTCATTGTTATTCCGTTTATGTAGATTTCCAGTGGCCGTACGTATAATAACATTCAATACGAAAATAAGAATATTGTTAAAGTATAATTTAAAATGTTGTTTTTGGAGAATAGCTGTTCCTGAATACCTCGGTGACTTTTTTAAGCGAAAGGGCACTTTATCCTTTGAGATCCTTCATCCTTTTAGTCTACCACTTAGTATACATACTATATCTTCTGACAACGCTTATCTCTTTTTTCTTTCGTGTTCTTGACAGATTGGAGGAGACCTTTTTACAGAACTCCCTTAAGTTTGCATCTTCTTCCCGGAACCTAAGGGGATTTACCATTCTCCATCAAAGAGAGGGCGAAGCCGATTAAAGGAGATCAGCTTTTTCGACGATCTTCAGAAGATGACGAGGATATGCAAAAGGGAACTTAAATCCAATCTATGAATAGAAATTAGGGATCAAGTCCTCGATTTCCCTCGGAGTGGCTTCTTTCCTCCTGCCGAAGCTCATCCCCGAATAATGTAATGACCCTTTACGATACTCTTTTATCCTCAAAGTTACCACTTTTTCCTAACAATTTGTGCCTACTTTCAGCTTTCCCCCCAAAATCTTCGAAACTTTGGCATTCCGTGGAAAAGGTGAATGCAAAGCCTAGGAATGATATCACCTTTTGTATTCTACTAGGTCTACCCTTAATCTTTAGTTGTCACAAAACTCGGTAGAATTTCTAGCGTACAATTTACATTTCTAACATTTAGAAATAAAGGCGCCACCATTATAATAAATATTTCGGAGTTTTAGTGACAAATTTTAATTTTGCACGTTTCTGAAAGTATCACTTATTCATTAAAAATGAATATAATATTTAAAAACATTGAACCAAAGTTATGCCGTGATTGTTGCTTGGGTAAATATTTTCATTTGCACTGTGAACGATGGAAGCTTATATGCATTTATTGAAGCACAGATTGTTGGTTCACTGTGAAGGAAAAAGTATGAGTACTAAAAAATATCGGTAGTTGCAGATGCAAATGAATACTCAGGGAAAGGAGGGTTGTTGAGGCAGAGTCCTCGGAAGCAGGACTTACAGAACTGAAACATCCCCAGGCTGACAGAACGTAGCAAACTTTGAACGGCTTATTTGCCAATAATTAGCAAGTACTTAGTGCAGTTTGCGATCCCATTACCTCCTTAATCGACGGTTAAGCTACCCACCGATTTCTTGCCATTTTCGGACAGACTTCTCTTCTAATAACATAATGAAATAGAAACAAAAAATCAGAATCACCGACATTTTGAAAAAGGATTACGAACATTTTCTAATTTACGAATAATAAACAAAAATTCTGATTTTATAAAATATGACTCATTCATGGAAGGTGCACACCAGGAAGGAATAATACGTTTCTGATACACCTTTATAACTAATTTTCACTGTGAATTTGAAGGACTACTAGTCTAGCGATGAATTTATAAATCTTTAAAAAATAATACAAAATAAACGGTACACCTTGTACAACTTACGCACTCTCTCAATTTATAAATGAATTTTAAGAAAATGGCTTAATCGGCTGTTAATAAACGATCTTCGTAACATAACTTACGAAATGGCTAAATTAATAGTTGGTAACTGAGCTGCCTAAAAGTTATCTTTTCATGAAAATTCTGTTCCATCAGTCGGTATTACATACGTTACGAAACAGCCAAATCAATAGTCGGTAACTAAGCTACCCGAAGAGAATCCTTTCTTGATAATTCTGTTCCATCAGTCGGTAATACAGGGCACATGACTCTGAAATTATTGCTGCAGTTTACTAACAGTGGATGATACATCTCATAAGAGCAATAACGTTATCAAAGAAGCTTAAAACAAACTAATGTTCTAATCCCATACTAAATTTTATATTTTTCAATTTTTAAACATACTTTAGATGAATGAAACAATTATTTGAAATTTATTTAAAATGAATTTAAAGTATGAAAATGGTGCTCCACGGAATCAACAATTCTTTTATATAAAAACGACCACTTATCGAAAATCGCTCCCATGTAATCACCCGTAATCATTTTATCTTTAAAACGAGCCTTCATTGGAATCGATCGGTTTAGAAATACGCTCGGAATCGTAATCACAGTAAAGTACTGAAAAATCGCTGGAGTCGTGTGCATCATTAAATGTATTCATAAATACGCTTAACTCCTGTGTCAATGACAAAAAATGTCTGTTCAATAACTTGGTACCCAAAGGTACATACATTCCAAAAAAAAAATGATCAAAGGCCTTTTTCAATATCTCTTCGGGATAAATGAAAGATCTCCATAGAAAGAAGTGCCATTGAAATAAGCGTTGAAATAAAAATTGAAAAGCACATTGAGTGTGCTTTTCAATTTTTATTTCAACGCTTCGTTACACTTACCTACATAGAAACGTTCCACTTTAATCACGTTACTCTTTGATGTTCCCCCATTAAAGTTTCTTCATTTTACGCGAATCTGCTAATGAGTTAATCTTTACATAGCAATACCATGTATAATATTCTTAGGACCGATAATTTTTTAGATAGAGATATGCCCATCATCGTTTGGTTTTATTTCCAGCAAATCAATCATCGCAACCTTCATTCATAATAATCCTTCGTTGTTCCTGCTAATTTATCAATAATACATTGCTACTCCGATTGAAATTAAGAACACAAGAAAAATTGTGCGATAATTTCTGCCGCGGAGCTCGGCTAATCTGGATAAGTACGAGAATCAATTCCCCTTAAACTAATTAACCGAAAGATACGTAACGATTTCTCATTTAACTTTACCGTAGACCTCAAATTTACTTCTCGATCAAACTCGAAAATAAATTGGTAAACGATCGTACCTGGAACCTCGTTGACATCTAACCCCTATTTAGAGTACTTATGTGGAATACAAGTTAAGTAAAATGGAGTAATCGTCAAGCATAAACGTGTAAAACATCTCGAGAGGTAATTTCTGGCCTTCCTGGCAAGAAGAAGGAATTACTTTAAATACTAAGGCGCGACAATGCAAGGCCGACATATTACATCCGGTACATTCTTTCCGCCCAAGAACTTCGGAAAGCATCGGGCTCGGTTTTAACAAAAGGGTCCGAAATCCACCAATGGTGCAACATGTCGGCAATGTATGCCAATCCGTTCCAAAGAAAAGCACCCGGTTGAATCGTGCGTGCAGCTGAAAGTCAGCTGCATTCGGTCGCCATTTCTTCTAGGGGAGTATCTTGAGTAGGGTGAATAAGGAAAACCAGTTTCTAACTCCACCCAGTCTTTTTTACGGCATCTTTAGCTCCCATTGGCCAAGACCCGAACATGGGTGCGGACTCCATTCGAAATATGATTAACCACCAGCACATGGAGAGAATGCCGAGTAATCACTATACAACGTGTAGTGGCATGGTATATGTACTAAGATCATGAAAGAAATCCTGAACTTCGCTCCGGTTATTAGAAAATGCTATTTCCACAAAAACACGTGATTTTAGTGTACATCAATTTAACGGGTATTTTTTTAACGCATCCCCAGTAGCACAGAATAATTTATAAATATCTCTTTGTAATCTTTGCTAAACATCTCAAGGGACAGATTTTTTAAGATTTCTTGTGGACTTCATTCGAAGATATTTGAAATATTTCTTGAAAATCTCAATGACATATTTAGTTTCAATAATTTATAAACATATAGAAGGATTATATTTTTTAACTGGTGAAGATAATAAAAATACATTTTTTACTTCACGACTATTATCGGACACTTCATTTGGTATCAATTAACACGAGAAACTTTTGTAATATTTCCCTTCCGCTATTTCATTATGGGAGCAAAACGTGTGATTTTGATTTTAAATATTTTGAAAACATTTACAATGTATTCGGCAAATAATATTTAAGAAATATTTATATTAAAATGAAACGAAATATTTTGTATATCTGGTAGAAAAATATTATGAAAACACATGGAGCTAACATCATATAAATATTATAGAGATAATATTCTAAAGTAAACGTTTGGCAAATATTTCAAATGTCTGGTAAATATTTACAAAATGTAGGATATTCATTAAATATATAGAAAATATAGGGCAAATATTTTGTGCTACTAGGGATCGTTACCAGCGTTACACACGTGTGATACCTCGATTCTCCGTGATAAGTCGATTTCACGTATTTATGAAAGTTTTGCTGCTTCCGAAAGAGCCTGGTCCGTAATGAAGGTTCACTAATCACTAATCACTAATCAGACCACGGTGATAGAAGTATGGCCTTAGACATTGGTCTCTCAGTAGTCCTTGTGCTAAATTGATTTGACTCGAATGGCTTTATTCATCTTGGATAAAAGTTCGAGGGCTCGATTCTTTTGGTAACACATTACACGTATTAGCACGCTGCTGTAAACGTATCCTAGAAAAAGTTGTACTTCTTTCGATCTACTTACAAAGAATTAAACTGGGAAATCATTATTTGGGGAACGATGCTTACACAAAACTTATACGTAGATCTTCCCTAGGACCTTAACCAATCGCAGTGCCTAAAGTCATGATTTTACAATAATAAGACCAACTAGCGATAAACCTGCATTTGCCAATGACGAAAATTGCATCTTACATATCCTTACGCTCGATTTGTCATATCCGTTGCAAACACTCGCTTAATTTCCTTAATACGTAATTATATACCACGGTTACTGCACATTCTACGGATATTCACAGAATCCTTGGGGATTACTTGATAAAAAATCCTCTCCGTGTAGTCTTTCGATCAGGGGCCACCATTCGATGGATAAACAATTAATCCACACTAGTTCCCAGAGATTCGCGCGTAGGAGACGAGATACTTAATCTTCGTGGTCATCCTCGAAGAGATGGAAAATCGATGCAAGAACGTGCGAGATTGCGTCATCACCAGGATGTACATAGTCCTAATTATCGCGAGGATAATCGCAATCCAAGGGTCACATCGAATGTTGCGGGGGTGGCAACATGATTTCGTATCCTGCCGACATGCCCTGCTGATGGTGATGATGGTGATGATGGGATCCGCTCATCATCTGATGATGGCTCTGCTGATAGTACTGATGATGCATACTCGAGTGACTCGAGTAGTACACGGGGCTCTGTTCCACGTCCTTTCCTGTTAACAATAATAACCAATCATCTTAAGTAATCGAAACATGTGTCTTTAATACCCCATACCCCGAACCAATTGTTCCTTTTGTTCTATAAAAGCTTAAATAAAAAACGAAACCGACTTCAAAAAATACAGTACAAAGTAAAAAATAAATGTTTTACGCGAAGATGAGGCATATGAGGTAAACACGATTCGGGAGAGTACCTAGATAATTAATTAATCATTGTAACGTATCCGCGATAAATGAATTCCCCGTTATAAATTATGTCCGGCAAGATGAATAATTAATGAATGGACCGTAGCTTTGACAAGTGAATTTCCTGTCATAGGTTATATCAATTACTCGAGCTCGTGGATAATTATCTTACCACTGTCATAAACACCTCGCCCATAGCACAGAGTTTTGACGTCGTTCATGGGACTGAGGCCGCCATTATGAGGATGCGTCGTGTGCATGGAGGAAGGTGTCACGGGGGTCGGGTAGCCGTGATGATGAGGTCCCATGGGACTCATGCCCATCGGGCTGCATGGATTCATTGTCACCGGTGACATTCCCATCGTCGACAATGGCGACATCGTAAGGTTGGGACTCCCCGAGTCAAGGGTCTGCAGCGACTGATGGCTCCCGCCGTTGCTGCCAGGACCATTTTCGTTGCCGTTGCTGCTGCTTTGACAAGTCAACGACAGCATTTCTCTGAAAAAATCAAATTAATTATATATTTCGCGCGAAACTCTACCGAGTCTCTTAACCACTCAAAGAAATTATGCATTGCGGCAACAAAATCCTGTGATCAAATACGTCCAAAGGAATTTCAGATTGAGTAAAGGAAATTCCTCTAAATCAACGACACCAATTTTTCTGCCCTACGAAACAATTATTTCTTGCAATCGTATATGGTTTAGGCAACAATATGTGTATATAATTGTTTTGGTCAACTAATCATTTTTTTTTTGTTTTTTTTTTTTTTTTCAGTGCATCGATTCGTTCTCCCAAAGCCAAACCTTGACAGTCGGCCCTGGAGTCCGACGGTCACAGGTCGGCGCAATTCCCCGAGTCGTGTCCGGAGTTGACTTTTGAAAAAAGAGGAAATCCTAGGGCGAGGGAGAAAAAATGAGTCTAGCAGGCCCGAAAAGGCGGGCCCGCCGATTGTCTTAGCGACGAGAACGAATGGGGTCCCGAGGGACCCGGGACTCCCGGAGGCCCGACAATTAGCTTTCGGTTCCTCGGTGGCACACATGGTTTTTCGGTCCAAGTTCCGAGAACCTCCCGGGGCCCTAAGTGCGACCGGGCCCGAAGGAACGGTCGTTTCTCGCATTGTTCGCCGTCTCGTGAGCACCTCCACCCGCCGTCCCGTGTCCTTCGCCGCCGACACGCGAGTGTACGGACGCAGGATATAAAGACGTGTGGGTGAGTGCGGTACTAAAACTTGTGCGTGTAAGCGACACAAGTGAAAAGTCTAAATACGTGTGCGACACGTCGGCGTAACGCACGTGCGTGCTCCGGCGGTCAGTGCGAGCCCGACAGGGCCGACGTCACGCAGGGCACCAGTGACCAGATTGCGGCCCCGTGAGGTCCAGAACTATAGATGTCCCTAACTAACTATGTCCCTTAGTTGACAGGAACTGTATCCTTCTAGTCTCCCGGTACTCCATAATTAACAACGAATTATTACTTTCAAAGCCCCACGGTACTCCGTAATAAACAAAGGATCATTATTTTCAGAAGATGGATTCAGAAGTGGATAAAAGTGGGCAATAGCCCGAATTCTGGGCAAAGTCGGCCCTAAGTATCTTTATAAATGTTTCCCTTGGAAACTAACTATCGGCATTTCGATGATAAAAACGTCCCCCGATGAATGATAAGACGATAAAGTGGATAAAAGTGAGCAATAGCCCGGATTCTGGGCAAAGTCGGCCCTAAGTATCTTTATAAATGTTTCCCTTGGAAATTAACTATCGGCATTTGGATGATAAAAACCTCCCCCGAGAAATGATAAAACGATAAAGTGGATAAAAGTATGCAATAGCCCGGATTCTGGGCAAAGTCGTCCTACGCGACCGGAACTCCGCTCTGTGTCTATATAAATGGTTCGCTTGGAAATTAACTATCCGCATTTGGATGATAAAAACCTCCCCCGATGAATGATAAAACGATAAAGTGGATAAAAGTGGGCAATAGCCTGGATTCTGGACAAAGTCGGCCCTGGCGAGCGGAGCTCCGCCCACGTCCGCAGCCGTCGGTCTTTGCGGCGTTTCAACCCCTCTCGGTGGCGCGACAATTTTTATATTTTTTTACGGATGCATTTCAAGGTCCGGATTTAAAGAACCGAAGCACGGAGAGAGAACCGATTCCCTTTTACATCGCCGGGAATAATCTTCGACACCATGCGCGATTTCGGTCGAGATTGAAACATCCGCCATGGCCAGGATGGACGGGAAAATGAATGCCGCGGGACCATTCGACCTGGGTTCCCGTTTTTTTTTTTTCGTGTCCTTTCGGTTAGGTGGTAAAAACCGGGATTAAAGAAGAGAATTTCCAGATTTCTCGAGAGGGGTCGCACCTTTGCCCGAAACGATGGGGAGGGTCCCTGTGAGGAGCGTCGCGACGCTTCATGGGTGCTCCTCGCTCGAGCCGATTCACGCCTGCGCGACAAGATGGACGGACGGAGAGGGAGGAAAGTACGGGCGTAACAGATAAATCGAATAAGGACCGGTTGGCCTTTATATAGTAAACTATTGGTAGTGCGAACAGCTCAATGGTGAAACGGGAGATGTAACCGAAGCTCTGCCATAAAACGGTAATGGGGCGTCGCGTTTCCTTTTCCTAGGGCCATACGAAAGAGCGAGAGAGACCCTGAGGGGTACCATGGGACCTTGGTATCCGGAAACCATGTCCCAACCATGGTCCGTTCGCCGATCTTTCCGCCATTGCGCAAGAAAGATGCGCGCAGGAGCCGCCACCATTTTCCATTCTTTCTGGAAAGAGCCGCGGCTACATAATGGAAAAATTTCTTACGACGAAGACAATAAAAGAAAACCACTCCATGAAAGAAGAGTAGACTACACCGAGATTGCGTTGTTTATGAACTCTACTCTCGAGTTGAAGAAAATAATATTGGGGGGGAAAGAATTTATCTCGTTATCGTGAACAAATAATTGCTCTCATTCCGTGAGAAAAAAGATCAGTTGACTGAAACAATTATATATTCACATACTTATTGTTGGACGAATCATATATGATTGTAAGATACAATTATTTCGTTAGGAGGAAGAAAAATGGATATATTTAATTTAAACAAATTATTTCATTCAAACGTGCAGTTCTAACAATCTATCGTCTGATTGCCTCAAATAAGAAAAAGTTGGTTCAGTCGCCTACATTTTTGGTAGAAATGTCAGCAAGTATATCAAATGACAAGAGTTAATTTTTTATGCATTAATAGTCAATTTGGCCCAATCCTGCTAATCATTGCTCCCAGACTATACTTATTTTATTTCAATTTTTAGAAAATGTTGGCCCGATCAAAGCAGATTGTCCATCGAACAAAATATCTATTATCAGGTACCACTTCACCTTCCCTTGATTCAATAAAATAATTCTCTTTACTCAATTTAACATTTCGTTAGACGTACTTAGTCACAAAGTTTCGTTGAAGCAATGCGTATTTCTTAGAGTGAACCAATTTTATTTTCTCAGTATTAAACTAGAGTTACAATTACAAATGTGTAATGAAATGTCACGGTATCATGTTACGGGATAACGAATCATGATGTGACCAGACATAACGAGATGTTGCACCGAGAAGTGATCCCACATAGCGTCATCCGAACGATAATGCGTATCTCTTCTTGAGATAGAGAACACGAAGAGGTGTCCCCATAAGAACTCGTGAGTATTTGAAATTCCCGCAAAGTTTACACACCTAAGATCATAAATAACTACGGTTAATTTCTTTGATATCCCTGAATTAATTATCGACCGAAAGGGACCGGTGGGCCGAAATTTGGAGAATGCTCTCAAAGCAGAACACCCTGACCGGTGCCACTCTCTCGTAGACATAACAACGCTGTGTTCGCTCCTTCTTTCTCCTGACACACGCACACGCGTGTTACCCACCGGTCCCACTGAAACGCGCTATCGAATCGCAACAGCTTATCGAACCCGTCCTAGAGTGGCATTCGGAGGAGAATCATTTCCACCGATTTCATTATCGCATCTAACGCACGGAACGAATTTAGCCGCGACCGCCATTGTTGTCTTGGCGACCCCCTTCGCGGGAGCGATCAAAGGAAAGGCCGCTTGAAACGAGATGATTGCCCTAAAGATCCGATTAATTGAAAATTCAGATATTAAATTTCATTTCCCGTAGATAAACTGTAATTTAAGGTGCTTAAAAAGATTCGGGATCTGATTAAGGGGGTGTGAAAGTGGCATCTTAGGGGTCAAACGTTCATGAAACTTTTCTCCGAATTGGGTGTACCGATTTGTTTCAAATTTTACCACATGAATAAGGAGACCCTAAGGTAGGTCCTGAGACTCGCGAAATTTCATTTTTTATCAAAATTGTTGAAAATAGCTGTAAACAAATTATCGTAAAATTGAAATTTCATGGGTTTTCAAGAAGTGAAACCTGGAGGGAAAAGTCATCGAGTGTTATCACAGTGATGTAATAAAAAACAATACTGTAATTGCTTCTACTAATAATTCGACATGCTTCTATGTTATGTCACTGCAATTTAAATCATCACAAGAATCTTAATTATTCGTCAAAAAACGTCCTGGTAGTACTCGTTCGGGTTGACGAACCTAATGATAGAAATGCCACAGGAATTTTCGAGAATTCGTAATCTCGTAGTCATTTGTTGATGGCGTTGCATCTATCAACAAGGGTTGACCACGCGTCCGACGTTATCCAAGTGCGATTACATCTCTCGGGTCTTAACTTATGTGCAAAACCACTAACTATAACGAAACGCGATGTAATCGCATGGATAGGTATACAAGTTCTAATCTTACAGCGGGATATGATCGCGTTTATCTTCTACATACGACCGTCGACGTTGATAAAGGAAATTTCGCCTCGATTATAAGACCTGCACTTTCTGCACTTTCAACCTTTCGCTGAGCTTGGACTAGATGATTACGTGGGAAAATTCGACGAGATTGATGAATTAAATAAATGTTGGAACATATGTTTTTCTTTCAGAATTTCCTGTCAAAGGACTTCATTCAGGGTTGAAAATCGCAGGTCATCGGGGGTAGATTCGGGGTACAGGAATTTCGTAAAAACGAAGGCAATAAATCGCTCTTAACATGATTTACCGAGGAAAGCTGGCCAAGGGTCTTGAAACGACCGACCGTGACACACGTCGAAACACTTGTTGCTCCTCCGAAAGAGAAGAACCCCCGTCGATACACGTGCCGGGCACGTACCCGCCGATTTCGCTCTAAGGGTGCCTCGCCCTGCTTCTCGGGACATTCAAAAGCGGCAACTCGAAAATGTGCACTCCAAAACCCACCCTCTCAATTTCCAGTCTCTCGAAGAACTATAAACTACCAAATCTGGTCCGGATTTCGAGATCCCTAGTATCTAGGATCCGTGTCAAACCTTGAAAGATGCGAAATTCTCTCTCGAAAAAAATTCCAACTATTGATACAACCGGTAAAATCCCCAGCGAACCATGTATTAATTGAACAATAAAATTCCTATGTTAAGTTAGTTCCTATAAGATCATATTCCGAGAAATTCCATCTACGGTTACTAATCATATTGTCGGTATTTTTTCAATTTTTCTGTTTTTTTCTTCTAGCAGAAATTGCCCCTAATTTTCGTTTCAACGTGCCCAAGGTCTCGTAGGTGGAGACGCGTTTTCAGTTCTCGTTGATAAAAATTGATAAGACTACTCACTGTCTCGTTTGTGGGGTGCGATCCCTCTGCCGACGATTCTTAAACCAATTGGAGACTTGCGTGAGGGTAAGTCCGGTCGTCACGGCGAGGTTCTTCTTCTCGTCCGGCGTCGGGTACCTATTTCTTACGTAGCACTCCTTCAGGGCTTTCCTGGAGCGTTCCTTGAAACAATAGACGGTCTCCTCCCCGTCCCAGATAGTTTTCGGGAGCGGGTACTTTTTTCGCAAACGGTACTTGTCGACTGCACCTAGGGGTCGGCCGCGAACTTTCTCGGCCTCGCAGTAATGAGACTTGTACCACATCTGCTGCAAATCCGAGTGTCGTCTCGGTGAAAAGGGGTGACTTTGCAGGATCGAGTACAGCTCGTGATAAGCCCCTCTGTGGAAGGCCACCTCCGCCCTCGCCATCAGAACGCTTTCGCCACCTCGCAAAAGCTCACCGGGTGGAAGGGACCAGAGGAAACTGGAAACGAAAATTTCCCTACGATTATCGACATGTCATTTATTCACGCTTGTTGAAATTAAACAGCCTGCTTTTCTCTGAATAGATATAATGTACGTATAAAGTGAGCATGCGACGCAAATTTACGATTCGGGTGTTTGAACAGCTGCGAAAATATGCCACTTATTATGACTAGTTGTCATCGATAAGAAGGGCCGTGGAGTGTCCCCTTTCAAACATCGTAATATAAATAATTAATATTTTTAATTGGCGCACGCTCCTGCGCGTTGCGGCCAACAACTGCGACTTTCATATAGTTACAAACAAATACGGATATATGGAAAGAATATATATTTCAGTTCTTAGCGAAAGGTAGCAATGCTGACGAAGTCTTGCGCTTGCTGCAGAAATAAGGACACTGACGCCAGCGATTATTAAAATTACGTTAAACGTAAATGTAACACTGGAAAACTTCGCTGAGATAAAATGCTTTACAAATTAGCAAATCAATTTATAGCAATTGCCAAAATGATCTACTTACTACTCGATCAAATGGACGACATACGATTTACGTCGCAAGTAAAGAATATTGCAACCACGTGTTTCCTACGTACTACCAACATTATTATTCATTACCATTAGATTTCCCCGATACATTCGTCTTGCAATGAAAAGTTGACTCATTTCGAAAGGTAAAAGACTGGAAGAATTAATAACATTCTTGTACCACAGTATAATGTGATAGATTTATAATAAATGTCATGTTTCCTTTCTGTCTCTTTTGAGACGAATACATTTTATAAAAAAAAAATTATATACCCTCCATTGATAATGTCAATCCTCGATTCCAACTTTGTACATGACACATCTTTCGTAAAACCATTTCCACTCGATACGCAATTATCATCGGTCGACTCGCAACGCCAGTGATACCCACAAAATCAATTTCCCTGGAGCCTAGAAATGTCCTTATCAAAAAAACATTTCGATTGCCGCAAATAATTAATTTCGCATAAAAAATACATGTTTTGCTGAGTGTATGTCTCGCAGCCTACAGTGTTCGGTATTTAAATGAAAGTATCGAGTAAATCCTCGGCTTTACTTGTGTTATCCCTACATGTGACAATTACCTCGTGAGTTTCTCGACGTCTTGACTCTTTCATCAATCAGGGAAATCAATATCCCTGAAACCTAGAAATGTCTTTATCAAAAAACATTTCGATTGTCGCAAATAATTAATTTCCCATAACATTACATGTTTTGCTCAGTGTACGTCTCGCAGCCTAAACTTCTCCGCATCGAAACGAAATTATTGAGTAAATCCTCGGATTTACTTGCGTTATCCCTACATGTGACAATTACCTCGTGAGTTTCTCGATGTCCTGACCTTTTCATCAATCAGAGAAATCAATATCCCTGGAGCCTAGAAATGTCCTTATCAAAAAAACATTTTGATCGTCGCAAATAATTAATTTCCCATAACATTACATGTTTTGCTCAGTGTACGTCTCGCAGCCTACAGTGTTCGGTATCGAAATGAAAGTATTGAGCAAATCCTCGGATTTACTTGCGTTATCCCTATATGTGACAATTACCTCGTGAGTTTCTCGATGTCCTGACTCTGGGAAAGCGCCTCGCACATGCAGGAAATCTGTTCGGGGGTGAAGTTGGTGGAGGTCCCGTCGAGGGGGAGGCTGCCGACGCTGCCGACGTTGGAGGAGACGCTCGAAGCACTACAGGTGGGCAAATCCTGAGGATACCGAGGACTGCCCGAAGACGTGGGGGTTAAATTCTGGGGATGAGAATGGTGATTCAACGGCAGACCGGTCATAGCCGTGCCGTTGTACGACCTGGCGGACCCGACGTTGCGGTGCACTGCTCCCATTTGACTGTTGCACTCGCTGCTCGGTGAGGAAAGTTGGTCCGAGCTCTCAGACATTCTTGGAACACGGGATTTTGATGAACAAAAGGCAAGAATCACCGTTTATCCGGAATCGCCGTGGAGCCGCCGAAGTTAAGTTCACCGGAGGAATCGAAACCGTCTTTTCGCGTCCTCCTTCGAGCGTTTCGCGCGTCTTTTGCCCGTTGAGGGGATTATTCTTTACGAAAGAACCCTCGAGGACGTCGACTGGAGGTAGAGGACGAGCCGACACTCCGACGTAGGAATTCTCTAATCAAACGACCGGTAGTTACCATCGAACTTCCGTTACACTTGCACGCCCGATACAACCGAGCTCATTGTTGCGACTCGCACGACCAAATGTACACAATCCATTGAACAGCTCTCGGCGGAGTCGTCGCCATTCACCGAGTCACAATCCGACGACCGCCGGCGATCTCCCGCCCGAAGTGGACGGAGAATTCGGAGAACCTTTTGTTTAATCTATTATCCTACGACGCTCCTTCGAGTCGTTCTTCATCTAAGCTTCGAGCAGGACTTCGCGATTCGGTGTCGCCGCGCCCGAGGGAATTCCTTTTCAAAGCCAATCGGACGCTTTCCGGTCCAACTTGACCCTGCATCGAACACTCGGGAACGTTCTAAATCCAACAAAGTCGAAGAATTTCTCCAAACTCATGATAAACCTCAATTATTTGGATACTCGGAAGGCATCCAAACGTCGCACGTGAACACCACTTTCTCGAGCTTCTCGATCTCAAAGCTTATCTTTGTTGATTAACCCGAGGAGGAAATCCACACTGCTGGGATTTCACCACGTCGCCATGCTCGCGCTCCTTTCTGACGAGGCGCGACGAAGACGTCTTCGTCAAGGGGATCCTCGAGACCGACCCCCGGGGATGCCTTTTTTTGTGATAAAACCCTCGTCGCGGGTATCGTCCAGGTCCCTCGAGGACTTCATGTCCTAACCGACTCTTTGGACCCTTCTCCGGCGGGCTGTGGCATCCTCGACGTCTTCGCGCGAATCGGCGGAAATCGGCGGAAATCGGAGCTAAGGTCGCGATCGGCGAAGTCCTTCGGAACAAGGCACACTCACTGAGTGACCAAGTCACCAAGTTAGTAAGCGAACACTACTCGGCTGGTAATGCGATGCAGAAGCGGCGTGGTTTTTTTCGGTCCCCGGCGCGAAGCCGGCCCGGGTCGGGGCGGCCGCGCGCCGATTGGTCGCCAGGCGGGATGCCGAGGTTCTCATTGGCGCAGCCAGAGGGCGGCGCAACCCCCTACCCTCCGGCTAACGATAGCCCCCTTGTAACGCGTCTGCATCCACCGAGGCCTGCCAGGCAGGTACGAATCATCGAGGAGATCCCGAGATATCCGGATCCTGGCCCAAGATGGACCATGATGGATCCGACGCGATGCGCTTCGATCGATAGCGAAATTTTGCGATATTTCTTTTAGATAATACGTGGGAATACTTGAGTGAGAGAGAATTCCGTATGGTACACTATTACAAAATTCGGTGAATTTAATAACACTTTTGATGGAAGTTTTATTCTGACATGGTATACTAATTTTATGACATAGGTTTAAATGAAATATATGACATGTGTTATAAATTTAGTACACACGTATGTAATGAAATTATGAGACGGATACGAGTCATCGAGGAGATCCCGAGATATCCGGATCCTGGCCCAAGATGGACCATGATGGATCCGACGCGATGCGCTTCGACCGATAGCAACATTTTGCGATATTTCTTTTAGATAATACGTGGGAATACTTAAGTGAGAGAGAATTCCGTATGGTACACTATTACAAAATTCGGTGAATTTAATAACACTTTTGATGGAAGTTTTATTCTGACATGGTATACTAATTTTATGACATAGGTTCAAATTAAATATATGACATGTGTTATAAATTTAGTACGCACGTATGTAATGAAAAAACGTAACGACTGAATTTTGCGATAATTCTCTTTGATAATACGTAGGAATACTTAAGTGAGAGAGAATTCCGTGTGGACGGTACACTGTTAAAAAGATTCTGTGAATTTTATAACTTTTGATGGAAGTTTTATTCGGACGTGGTATACTAATTTTATGACATAGGTTCAAAGTAAATATATAACATGTGTTATAAATTTAGTACACATGTATGTAATGAAATTATGAGGCAGGTACGAATCATCGAGGAGATCCCGAAATATCCTGATGGATCCTCCGCAATACGGTTCGACCGATAGCGATTGGATGTCGAAACGTAACGACTGAATTTTGCGATAATTCTTTTTGATAATACATTGGAATACGTAAATGAGAAACAATTCCATGTGGACGGTACCCTGTTAAAAAGAAAATTTTATAACACTTTTTTGTAGGAAAATTAAACTACTTATGTACTAAATTTATAACACACATATATGTTTCCGGAGTATGTAAAAAAAATGTGAAATTACAATATTTTCTTTAACGGTCTACGAAACTCATAGAAAGTTTCGTTTTCGAAAGATCCTCGCATAAAGAAGAGATTCGATAACGATGGAACTCATTTTTAGACTACATCACGGGAGTAAAGGAAGAGACGCAATTTACAGTCTGAATGGATAACTTACCATACTTTGAGATATAAACAAAAAAAATTATAACAAGTACATAATGCATTCCTTGCATTCCAGTAGGCCGAGGCGAGGAAATGGACTCACGTTTCGCTATCTTGCCAGATAACGCGCGGATTGTTTCTCTTTAATTATTTATATCGAGCCGGGCTAGAAAAAACATTATTCTTTATCGCAGCCCTGCCTGGGCAGTGCTTGGTTCCAATGATTACAGTACGAGTCTTAAACTATATTTCGAAAATACACATCAATAAGTTCCGACGACAGGTTCATTAAACATGGTCGTCGCGTGAAAATATTACGAGCGGTGACGTAACCTCTTGAATCCAACGAATAGATTTCAATACGTTCAATTAATTATTTACGAGACGTCTAGCTTAACAAATTTATCAACACCGTTCTTAGATACAACTTTCTCTCATAAAACTCGAATACACATGCGAATTAATAAAAAGATCCTATTCTTACAAACCTACTTCAACTTCAACTTCAATGCCCTGAGAGTTACACTCAGTATTTATGAACAATTTGGTTCATGAACCACTACGTGTGTTGGAAGTGAAACTTATATGATAAAGAAAGTAATAATTCTTTAATAAGATATTATTAATATTTCTTAATTATTATTCCAGGAAATGCCTTTATACGCTCGATACTGGTTGTACGAAAACGTTACGAAATGAAACCGTTTATGTGAATTGTGTTAATGTTAACTTCTTCACTTTTCCCTTTCATAATATATCTACTACTGTGCCATAAAGAATTTCACAATAATTAATGCCGTGCCATAATGGTGTACCTAGACGAAAATTGTTTACACTCGTAGTTCGGTATTATTTTTTGACAAATATCAATGTTAACTAATAATACTTTAATTTGGGATCTGTTTTAATTGCAGGTTCCCTCCTCGCGTTCACATCGACGTATCCAGGGACTTCGTCGCGGATTCGCACATAGGTCTTGTCGGTGGCCAATAAACACCGGAAACGGAACATGTCAACGTTACCGTACACCGTATTGTGATTCTAGCGAGTCGCCCCGTGCTATCGCATTCGACTAAATTTACAACACTTGCAATTACCATGTAACTGCGCCAAACAGCAGGGCGCTATTCGACATCGGGATTTCTCACGGCAGGTGATCGTCGATGTCAAAAGTGGCGTGATTCCTACACTTAAAAAAAAAAAATGATAATTTTATAACATTTTTGTCGAAAGTTTCATTCGGACATGGTCGGACTAATTTTGTAACATATTGTCAAATAAAATGTATAACATGTATTAGAAATTTAATACATATGTGTAATAAATTTACAATATATGTTATAAATTTGTGTCGATCAGGACTTGATTTTAAACGATTTTTCTGCAGACAAACAAATTTGACATATGCCCCGGGCATATTCGAGGTCGATTTTAGAGACAGAATTTTTTTTAATATTATTTAAATATTTCTCGGACTCAAGAATGTCGCTACAATGCTTCTCCGTCAGTACCACCGATACTTGTCATCTCTCGATTAAATTTGTTTAAAAGTAAACTTATGTAAACGACGATAAAATTAAAAACTCATGTAAAAAATTTGCAAACAATGCGTACTACATGACTTTCGAATTTTAAATTTATCATTTTTCTCCGCAATTTCACAAAATTACAACACGATGTTATGAAATTATAAATTTACGTAGAACTGTATAATAAATGTATATTAATTCACTATTAAGACATAAAATTTATAATTTTACTGCGACCTTATGTATTAAAAGTGTGTAAATTTTATGAATTTTTTTAACAGTGTAGAATAAAGATGCCATTTCATCGCAAGTACCTACACATCGCCGTCCCTTCCAGAATCGGCTCGTGGCTCGGATAGAATTATGATACATTTGTATAAACACGATCCTTGCCCGCACGAGGAACGTAACGTTAGATGTACATTAGGCGGATTGAATCTAAATACACCCGCCCCGGGATCGGCTTCTCATTCAGAAAATTCGCCTTGGTGTGTATGATTACCTAATACAACCTCACACATACTACGCGCACATAGATTTAATTTCAATGTTCACCGCAATGGATATCGAAACAAAATGAAAAAAAAAATAGGTATTTTTCAGTCACATCTCGTACCCGAAAATTGCGGTCCTTTATCACAGAATTCCGATTATTGTTAGTATTAATGATCTCAGCTGAATCTGCTAATTCTCTATTTATTTAACTTCTAACTTAATTTCTTCTAACTTAAATTTTGCATTGTACTCCAAATCCTCCCGTGTGTTCATGAGGCTTCTATAAGGTAAACATTTTATAACAGTTAGGCAATAGTTTCTAGCAATCGAAGATGGTGATTTTACTTGCCGGAAAGTTAACTATTAACATGCGGTTATGACATGATCCGGGGTTGTGCCGGAAATAGCGAAGCC